CAGAGAAGGAGATTCCACAGCCTCCCTGGGCAGCCTGGGCCAGGGCTCTGTCAGTTTGCTCCTCTTTCGTGTACAAATACGTCCCCGTGGGTCACAGGCACTCAAGGACATGTTTTTCATCAGTTGTATGTGATGTTGTCTTCTACCAAGACAACGGTGAATCACTTCTGAGTGGATTTTAGGACACAGTCCATGCTCTTCCCTGCTTATTTGGCGATAGCTCTGTCCCCAGGTGAAAGTGGGTATTTTTCCATACCTGAATTTTAAATGTGTCTTTTTTAACAGTAATGGCAAAGTATAAGAAATGCCGACGGAAACAGAGAACCAGAGCAAAATTTCTACTTGAAAAAAAAGGAGATGCTGGTAACCCGCAGGACTCTGGTTGCCCTTCTGCACGGTAAGAGGCTCAGCTGGAACTTCTCCTTCTAGCTCCATTTCTGGCTCTGCTGTTTGCTCCCGACGGTTTGTGCAACTGAGGCCCCGAACACAATTCCATTACCTGTGTACATCCTGGTGGGGATGCTGTGGAGCTCTTTCATCTTGTACATCTTGTAGTACTCTGTCCTTAACTTCAATGAGGAGGAAAAGCAATTTGGATAAAAATATATTGCAAATGTGTATATTTTTTCCCCCCTGTATCAAAGTGTATCTTGGTCTTTCCTGATCTCTGTGCTCACGTTTACACCGCTGTCACCTGCTGTTGCTGGTACTTGTCATTTCCAGGTGACTGGTGACAGTTAACCTTTTTAAAGGCTGAAATCATAAATATAATTATGGCCTTGCTCTGAAATGTTCTGTCCCAGGTCAGCAGGTGATCTTCCTCTGAACACATCACCTGTCCCAAGCCCTCTGTCCTCACTCTGGTCGTTAGCCTTGCCCGGTGTGAAAAATGTGGTAAAACCCTTTACAACAACAGCAGCGGTTTTGTATTGTTGGTGCCAGAGCACGGTTGCACAGGTATGTTTCCTACTTCTCTACTTTTGCCAATATGTGCAGTTGTTCCTAGTGCTCAGGTGCAGGATGTACAGTCAGATTTGAGAGCTAAGCTGTAGATTTAGTTATGTCTGTTGAAACATCTAAAGTATATTTTGTGTTTACTGTTGAAGGAATAAGTATGAGAAGAGTGCCAAGGCCACTGTGGAGATGAAATGCATGTGTGAAATTATTGGGGTTTTTGTTGGAATATCAGGAGGATTTGCAGTGACGGAGGGTGCGGTCTTTCTTTCATACCAGAAATGATTGTGTGATTTTTTCAGGTCAAATGTGAATTATACTTTAGAATTCGTAGGTGAAGTTAAAATTTTGTTGGAGAAAGTCACTCTTTGGGTTCCTGCCAAGGAAATATTTGGTGAAATTTTGTCTCTTCGTGTTGTGCCTTTCTATTGACTACAACGAGAAGACCTTGCGATAGAACTTTCAGTAGTAATCATAGCTCTGTCTCTGGAGACAACTTGGTGAAAACACTTATCTGGTTTCTTTTTATGCTTAGAGTTTTAAGGTGGTTAAAGACACCATATTTCCATCACAAATCTACTTAAGAGAGCTAAATACGTTCAGAGAGCAGCTGGAAAAGTTGGAAACTGAATTTTCCAGGCTACAAGGAACCCTCCAGGTCAGTCTCAGTCCCAGTGGGGCAGGGTAAGGTGTGCTTGTGTAAGCATGTAAGGAACTGTGGTCAGTGCAGATAAACTGAAATATTAAGAGCATCTCATCGGGCAGTGTTTCACCTCTTTTTCGCATTCAGCATTACTAGACTGTGGTTCCTTCCTAGCTAGAGGGAACTGGTTTGCTGGCGAGCCTCATGAGAGGCTTTTTATGTTTTTCTGGATCACCTGAAGCCAGAACCTCTGTTCTCTGAAATTCCATCTACTTTTGCCAGTGGATTTAATATTCTCTTATTTATTTATATTATTTCCAGATGAATGGAACTGCAGCCTTGTCTTCAGAAAATTCTGTGTGTCAGAGGTGTAATAAACCAGTTCTGGGTGCTCCTGTACAGACACAGATGGGCCCGGCGGCAGCCCTGCCCGGGCCTTCCGCAACACCCTCCGCCACCGCCTCCGCTGCCGCCACCAAAACTGCCTCCAGCACCTCTCCTTCTCAAACGGGGCAATGGCTCTAAAGCACTGCTGGTAGGCGGTAAAATGGGCCTTTTTTTTTTTTTTTCCTCTCATTTCTGTGTTCTTTGGACCTGGTCTCATCAGGAACATGTGTCTTTCTGAATGCTCAGTCGCTCGCCGATCCTGATTTCCCTTCCAACCACCTTTGTTTTCAGGCAACATCACTGAAAAATGATGGGCCGATGCAGATCACTCTCAAAGATCTCCTGAACGTTAAACTGAAGAAGACGGACAGAGGCCTGAGAATGAACAAGGTAAACTGGAGGACACATGGATAAATGGACTATCATGTATTGAGCCGAACTCTGTGCTGGATCTGCTGTATTTCCTGCAATGCTTGTCTCAGCACCTCGTAGAATTTTTTCAATAAATTAATTCTTCTCTTCCAAAAACCCAGTGATCAGCTGTAAATAAACCTTCTCGTTGTGCACCTGGGCAGCTGAAGGGAATAAACGGAGTGACTAACTCCACTCTCAGCTGGCATGCAGGACAGCTCCCCGAATTCTACATTAAGGGCGTATAGCTTTGATGTAGCTTTCTGTCTCTGTGTTATCAATGGATTTTAGGCTTTCTTTTTTGCAGCTGAAATCCTGTTTCCAGAAGTCTTTTTTTTTTTAAATATATATATAAATAAATCTATTTTTGTCCAAGGCCCATTACAATCTTAATGATTCAGAAAAGCATAAAAGCCATAAACCACAGAAGTCTTTCAGGGTATAAATATTAAATAGATTGATAGCCAGTGAGGCCTTCAAAAGTTTATTTGTGGTAACATTTCTTTTCTCCCTTTAGGCAGAATCACCAGTGAGGACACGCAGGGCATTAATTACAGTCTCAGATTTACAGGGTGTTAGTCTGAGACCTAAATCCAAGCCATCAGCTCACGTTTCAAACTCCTTGACGTAAGATGCTTTCTTCCTTTCTGTGGTATTAGATTTTTCTGTTCTGAACAGAACAGATGAACCCTACTTACAGAGTGGAAAACGTTTTATTTTAACAATTTTGGGTGTTTTTTTCTTTTAGTACCCCTCCTAAAAATCAGTTTGATCTTCGAAAGCGTCTGAAGAAAGTCAATATACAAAGGTAAGTTCCTTTCTATCCTCTTGTTTTGTTTTTTCTACAAAAAAACTGAGAGCGAACCATGATTCCCCTTGTTTCCAATCTTTTCAGAAGTCCTGGTGGCACTCCACTACACAGTAAAGAAAACACTGAATGTGGGTCTGGGCTGACACCAATAATGACACAGGCACTACGGCGCAAATTTCAGGCAAGTCATGGTGTCTCTGTTCTTGGAACGATAAACTTTAAAATCCATAGGAGTTCGTGCTGATTTTTTGCCCCAGAGCGCAGTGCCGCTGCTGTGTGTTGCACAAGTTACGGTCTCTCTGTAATCCTCACCCAAAAGCCCCAGGTACCCACAAATCGGGGCGCTTGGTTTGCTGATTCCTGTTTTAATGGTCAGGAAACGGCAGAATGGAGGTGCTGTGGCCCGTCTTCAGCGGGTGATCTGGCAGTGAGAGGAGGAGTGGTTCCTTTCATTCCAGTGCCTCAGTGCGATCTCAAGCCTTGTAGTTCCAAGTTCCCAGGAGAACACATCTGAGGGTTAATAACGTCGTTCGGTTTTTGCTGTGTCTGTTTTCTTCTGTGAATGCCGGTTGAGAACTGTGCTGTATTTGCTCCCAGTGGTAACTGGCAGTAGCCTGACCCTTTTCTGATCTTGACAGATGGCTCGCCCCAGGAGTCCCTCGCCAGCCCCGCTAAGTGCCGCAAGCAGCTTTGATGAACAGAAGTAGGTTCGTGGAACAACATGTTGTTCGTTTGTGGTCAGGAAGCCGCTGGAATGCTGTATTTATCTCGCTCAGGCATATCTATCTATAAATAAACCTAGTGCATGCGAGCACGGGGCATTACGAAACCTCTTTGGCAGAACTCTGCGTTGTAAAGGCAGCATCTTCCCGGTGTGGCTGGGTCTGGTTCCATCTTCTCTGTTAGTGGGAAAAAAAGGTGAAGTTTCCCGAGTCGTTTGATACCTGGCTGCTGCTGGAGCAGGGACTGTTGTGTTCCCGGCGCTGGTGCCGCTTCTGATACCAATGTGTGTGTGCGTCTGCTGAAATCCGGTGCTGGTTTTGCTTTTGTTTAACGAAAAAGATG